AATAAATATATATGAAATAATGAAATTTAGAACTAATTCTGTTAATAACTAAAGCTTATGTCCCTGAAAACAAACTCATGTATGACATCTAGTGGACAAAAATAATAAGACGCAGAAATGTCCAAAATAAATAAATAATAACAAAAACGATGAAATTAATTACTATTGATTTATGCGTCTAGTTTAAGTATAATAAAATATGATTTAAAAAAACTATCCAAAAAAAAAATCTATATACTGAAAAATACTACCACAAGAAGTTTTTTGTCCCTACCTGTAACACAAAGAAATGAATCTGTTTAATGGCCAAATAATTATAAATGACTATTATAGTTATTGGCCGTTAAACAAAATATTTATTTACTATCATTTCACCATCTTGACCTTTAAAATTAGAAGCATAGTGTTTTTTTTTTTAAATAGATAGCTATTCAAATTCTTGCTTGCTTAGTTGGCTAACTTTCAAAGCTGCACAATGTTATTGTGTAGGCTAATGTCTTTAGAAGAAAGTCTGTATCATGCATGCATACGCCATCTGTTGCTCTTCAATGACAGGCACATTGAAAGATAGCTTTCAGTTTATGAAATTCCTCATATAATCTATCCAGATGCAGCGATCCAACCACATGAACTGGAAAGAGTGTAATGTGCTGCTGCACCTAAAGAGACGTCTCATTCTGTATTTCATCTGCCTCTAAGAAATTTAAATGTAAATGTTACTTTTATCTGCCCATGTTAGCAGTGTTTTTTCTTCCCCAAATCACTTTAAAAAGACAGCTTGTTAGAGCTGTGCTCTCAGCTATATGTGTGGTCTGTTAAAAGTAAATTAGCTTATATGTGAGTTATTAACCAATATAGTTCAAATGTTGTCAGCTTGTCATAATGTATGCAGTGCACCTGCCTTTGGCTTGTACCTAGTTTCATCCAAGGTTCACCTGGATGAATGCACTGAACTTAAATCAAAATAAACTCAAATGTAAAGTTAAAATTATTTATTTAAGAAATATTCATACTTGTTACAGTCCATACCATTTGAAAGCTGGCCAGAATGCAGCGCGGTTGCCAAGTGAAAGTCACAAGAAAAAAATTTGATAATACTTAGATGCTATGTATTGTGGGAAAGTTAAATTAACAATATGTTATGGTCTAATGCATAGTTCCTTCATGAGCAGGAAATGGGAATTTATTTAGTTTTTGATTATTATTTTTTTATTGCCTATCCTTCCCTGGTGTGCTCTTCATTAAATATAAGTGTGCAATAATTCCTTATGAGCAGTAATTTGGCCTGTGCCATGTTGTTCAACAAAATCAGAAATGAACAACGAAATAACAAACAGTGGAGTGAAACAATCTCAAGTGTCCAATTTTCAGTTAAAGGTAACAATCAGCAGTCCGCTTCACCATCCTCCACGAGAGGAATTTCTGGAAATTCAAAGCAATACATTGGTAAGTATCTCTGAATTCAAATATGTTACAAATAATATTATAAAACAGTGTGTGTTTCTACCACTAGGTGGCAGCAGCCTACAGCCTTACCATCTGCAATGTCTATGCTGGGGCTTGTGGAGGCGGTCTCCTCCATAGAGGTGATGGCATTGGTTCTCTCA